GCATAAAAGGCTGAAAATACAAAGGGTGACAGATGCGACTACAAAAACTTTAAAACATCTATTTGGAAAAAGAAAAAGACCTACAAAATTAAAATGCAAATGAAAAACTGAAAAAAATGTTTACAAGTTATATGAAAAAGAATAATAGCCTAGCTCAGTGGTTAGGCATTGATCCATGCACCAACAAGTCGCCAGTTCGTTTCCCAGTCAGGACACATGCCCAGGTTGTGGGCCTGATCCCAAGTGGGGGGTGTGCAGGAGGCAGCCAATCAATGTTCTCTGTCATCCATGTTTCTAGCTCTCTCTCCCTCTCCCTTCCTCTCTCTCTAAATATTAATAAAGAAAAAATTTTTTAAAAAGGAATAATAGCCTTAACATACAAAGAGCTCAGCCCTTGGCCCAGTAAGTAGCTCAGTTGTTCAGAGCATCATCCCGATATACTAAGGTTGTGGGTTCAATTCCCAGTCAGGGCACATGCAAGAATCAACCAATGGCCCTGGCCAGTTTTCTCAGTGGTTAGAGCATTGGCCATGGACCAATGAGTTGCAGTCAAGGGCACATACCTCAGTTGCAGTTTGTCCTCAGCCCTGGTCGGGTTGTGTGTGAGGCAATCAGTCAATGTGGCTCTATCACATCGATGTTTCTCTCTGTCTCTCTCTTTCCCCCTCCCTCCGACTCTGTCTTATGATAAATGGAAAAATATCCTCAGGTGAGGAATTAAAAAAACAAAAACAAAGAATCAACCAATGAAAGCATAAGTAAGTGGAACAACAAATTTATGTTTCTCTCCCCCTTCCTTTAAGAATCAATTTTTAAAAAAATTTTAAACATATAAAGAGCTCTTTTAAAAATAAAAGCAAAGACTGCACACTTCAATATAAAAATGAGAGAAGGATAAGGCAATAAACACACTTAAAACATTGAATGCCTTCAATAAATTACAGAAAAGGTGAGTTGAAGGTGGGGGTACTTCACAGAAGTAACAATCAAATGCAACGAGAGGACTCAGCCCAAATCCAGATTCAAGCAAAGTAACTTTAAAACAACACTTTGAGCCCAGAGGGTGTGGCTCAGCGGATTGAGTATTATCTCATGGACTGAGAGGCCTGGGTTCGATTCCTGATCAGGGCACATGCCAGGGTTGCATACTCAATCCCCAGTAGGGAGCATGCAGTAGGCAGCCGATTGATGTTTCTCTCTCTCTTTCCCTCCCTTTCAAAAAGAAAAATCAATAAAAACATATTGAAAAAACACATTGAGATAAATCGTGAAATTGAATATAAACTGGGAATAGGTGATAATAAGGAATTCATGTTAATATGAGAGGTGTTATAATGGAAAAATACCATAATGGTATGGTAATTATATAAGAAAATGTCCTATTTTTAAGGGATGCTTGCTGAAGAATCTGGGATAAAATGTTGAAACATCTGGAATTTACTTTAAAATACTACAGCCAAAAAATAAAGAGATAAAGCAAATCTGGCATGATTTTAATTATCAAATAGGCCGAAAAAAATTTTTTTTTCTTACAAATAAATCCAACAAATGCGAGGGTGCAATAGAAACAGGCATCTCAGCCACTGCTGTTGGGAGGATTAAACTGGTAGAACTTTTCTGTGGGGTAATCTGGCAATATGTGTCAAAAACCTTGAAAAATGTTTAAAGCCACCAAGTCCATTTTCAGTCATTTATCTCAAGTAATTTTTTTTCTTTTTTAATCCTCACCCAAGGACATATTTGCGTTTATCTTCAGATAGAGTGGGAGGTAGAAAGGGAAGAAGAGAGAAAGAGAAACATCAGCGTGAGAGAGATACATCGAGTGGTCGCCACCCATATGACCTCAACCGGGGCCAGGGACAAACTGCAACTGAGGTACATGCCCTTAGCAGGAATTGAACCCGAGACTCTCTGGTCCACAGGCCGGCGCTCTAACCACTGAGCAAAACCAGCCAGGGCTCAAGTAAATTTTAAACAATGAGCACAAAGATTTTTAAACTTTCAAGTTCTATCATAGCAATATTTGCAATTATGAAATACTGATATCTGTCCAAATGTTCAATTTTCCACACAGCCATCTGATGAATTACTACAAGGCAGTCATCAATAACTGAATTTTATAAGAAAAATTAAAGCTATTTTGACATATTTTATGGTTCAGCAGTTATGGAAAACAGTATAGTGGTTCCTCAAAAAATTAGAAATAGAAACAGATCATGATCCAGTAATTCTACTTCTGAGTATATATCCAAAAGAATTGAAAGCAGGAACTTAAAGATATATTTGTACACACATGTCCACAATAGCACTATGTACAATAAGTTAAAGGTGGAAGCGATCCAAAGTGTCTTTGGATGGATGAATAAACAAAATGTGGTATATTTGTGCAATGGAATATTATTAGTCTTTAAAAAAGAGATTCTGGCCCTGGCCGGTTTGGCTCAGCGGTTGGAGCATCGGCCTGCGGTCCGGAGAGACCCGGGTTCGGTTCCCGCTAAGGGCACGTACTTCGGTTGCAGTTTGTCCCCGGTCCTGGTTGGTCGTGCGGGTGGCAGCCGCTCGGTGTGTCCCTTTCACATCAATGTTTCTCTCTCTCTCTCTCTCTCTCTCTCTCTCTCTCTCTCTCTCTCTCCCTCCCTCCCTCCCTCCCTCCTGCTCTATCTGAACAAAGAATGAAAAAGTGTCCTCGGGTGAGGATTAAAAAAAAAAAAAAAAAGAGAGAGATTCTGATACATGCTACAACACAACTGAGGCTTGAGGATATTATACTAAGTGAAATAAGCCTGTCACAAAAAGGCAAATGCTGTATGATTCCACTTATGTGAGGTACCTAGAGTAGTCAGAGTCATAGAAACAGAAAGTAGAATAATGGAGGGGGTGAGAAAAGGGAGGAAAAGGGGAGATGTTGTTTAATAAGTACAGAGTTTGAGTTTGGGAAGAAGAAAAAGTTCTGGAGATGGATGGTGGTGATGGCTGCTTGACAATGTGAATGTACTTAATGCTATTGAACTACACACTTATAAATGGTTAAGATGGGCCCTGGCCGGTTTGGCTCAGCAGTTAGATCGTCAGCCCATGGACCAAAGGGTCGCAGGTTCAATTCCCAGTCAAGGGCACATACCTAGGTTGCAGATTCAATCCCCAGCCCAGCCAGGGTTGTGCAGGAGGCAATCAATGTGTCTCTCTCACATCAATGTTTCTCTCTCTCTCTCCCCCTCTCTCCTTCCCCCCCTTCCTTCTACTCTCTCTCAAGATCAATGGAAAAATATCCTCCAGTAAGAATTGACCCAAAAAAAAGGTTAAGATGGTAAATTTGATGTTATGTATATTTTATAATAATTAGAAATGAGTAAAAATACTTGATACATTTTCAACAGAAAAAGGCATGCTGCAAAATACTATGTTCGTCTATGATCTCAACTTTGTTTCACTGACGTCTTAAAAATTAATATATATTTGCACACAGGAAAAAAGCTCAGAAGGGTATATATCAAAATGTTAATAATTATCACTAGGTGTTGTGCTTATAGGAGAATTTTATTTTCTTTGTGTATCTGTTTTCTGTAATTCCCAGGTTTTCTACAATTACTTTTATAACCAAAAATGAAAGTGTATGTTGACTAGACAAATGAAGAAGGAAAGAAAAGGACTCTCATGCCCTGGCCGGTTTGGCTCAGCAGTTAGAGCATTGACCTGCAGTCCAAGAGACCCAGGTTCGGTTCCGCTAAGGGCACATATTTCGGTTGCAGTTTGTCCCTGGCCCTGGTTGGGGTCGTGTGGGTGGCAACCATTTGATGTGTCTCTCTCACATAGATGTTTCTCTTTCTCTCTCTCTCCCTCCCACTCTATCTGAACAAAAAGTGGAAAAATGTCCTCGGGTGAGGATAAAAAAAAAAAAAAGAAAAAGACACTCATATTGGCTGCTGATCCAAAGGCAAGAATGCCCACAGTTATATTTCCAAATGACATAATAAATATAATGCACTTTGAGAATCAAATCATAAAAGTTTGGGAAAACAGAGACCAACTCAGAAGACAGAGTATCAGGGAGTTCCCTGAAGAATTAACATAGAGACATATACCTGGTTTTAAGCAATTCCAACAGCCAAAGTGGGTTCACCACATCTCTGTGTGTCCAGCAGAAAGGAAAAGACCAGGGGAGCCTCAAACACCACCCAAGTGGCCCATCAGAAAGAACAGGCTCAGAAAGAAAGGACTGGAATCAATGCAGTGCTCTCCCTGGGACTCAACAACTCCCCACCCCGACACTACTCTGAAGCTAAATCCAGTTTCAGAAAATAATTTCTAGACAGCAGCCTTCAAGAGAAAAAGGAGCCTTTCTTCTGTGGCATTCCCTCACCACATATGGTACTGCTCTGAATAGAGGCTTTTATGAGAGAGGGTTCAGATACCACAGCCACGGTTATGCCACTGACCACAAACAACAATAAATAGATGTTAGGGTTTAGATTTCCATGCAGCAGAGGCACCCTGAATAATTATGATAGAGTTTCCATCACATTACAACATCCAATAAATGTTTATTGAGTGCCTACTAAGCACAGGGCACTATTTGTAACAGCATCCCACGTTGACACACGCAGTTTCTCTGTTCTGTTCCAGGACTCAGACCAGGAAGTAATGATGTAGGCTGGAGGCATTTGACAGTTTGATGCTACATGTCCCACATCTCCTGTATTGAAAAACGAGGGGCAGAAGCAGAGGAAAAGCACTGATCCTTGCAAAGGATCAAGGGGACACATCACTGCCTCCCACCACTACAGCCCCTAGAAAAGGGGGCTGAATTCTGCAGAAAGAAGCTGTCAGCCTTCCTTAAACTCCACGGACAGCTTCTGTGCAGAGCAGAGTCACTGCAGCCCCTGGATCTGGAGGACCACATCACCAGGTTTATCGGCCATGTTGAGAGAAATGCATGCCTCCAAATGTTTCTCCCCACACACATAAATGAATCACATCAGCGACCCCTTCATCATACGTACTTTTGCCTCCATTGTTCTTCAGGATATTGGAGAGGTTGACAGAGGCAGTGCCTAGCAGTTCATTTCTTAAGGTATGGCAGCTCCAGACCTTCAAATCTAAATGACTCTGGGCCGTGACATTCCTGGAAAACAAATACTTGATTCATCACATCCAAGCAGATCAGTCACTCTTATTGCCTCAGAAGAAAACAGGCATTGCTGACAACTTGGAAGGGGGGGAGGAGCCCCAAACAGGAATATGCTCACATAACACCTTCCCCACCTCCACCCACCCCACCCCCCGCCCAAAGCTAACCCTGTAACCATCTAGCTAATAATGAACACTGTGAGCTCAATGATGTTGAAACCCTTAAAGAGAGGTACCTTAGGTACCAAAGGCAGAAGAGTTAGAGGCTGCAAAGGACACCTCGATCTCCCACCACAACCCCCTTAGAGCGCCTTCTCACTTTCCCCCATGTTATTGCATTCAAAGAGAAGGGACTTGCTCTTACAAAATGATGATCTCATTCCAGAGAAGCTCGGAGCTCCCGATTCGCTTCCCAGTCTTCTTGGTCTCACTGGGGAGTCCATCCACTGCCACTTCCACAAATGAGTTAATTCGATGTTGGCGATTGTGCACCTTGGGCTTAGCTGACACCACTGGACAGGAAAGAAAAAGTCAAGGAAGAGGCAGAGGGCTCCCAGCTGCCCCCCTGTGGCAGATGGTCTATCTCTTTTTTTTACCGTTTCTTCCAAAAACTAAATTTTGTTATTTCCTAATTCTAAGAAAACTTATTTTTAAAAAGTGAGGACAAAAAAAATATGAAGTATAAGAAACAAAAATCACTCCTAACCTAAAAACAAGATGTTGGTAAATTCAGACTTTCTAGACTTTCATCTTTTATATCCCCAATTCTTCAAAAATTATTCTCCTCCCAAATCCCATTTTAAAAGGCTGTAATATAAACCCACTATGAGAACATGCCATAATTTAGTTAACTATTCTTCCACTGATGAAAAGATTGCCTTTTTTTCCCCCCCCTCTGGAAAAATTACCAGAAATGTATGTGCAATATTTGTTTGCATTTCTAAGTATTCCTTCAAAGGCTATGAATATTTTTTTAAGTTCTTAAAATTGCTTAATTCCTTTCCAAAAAGGGTAAACCTGTGTAGATGCCCAAGAGCACTAGAGGAATATCTCCATTTCACCAATCACTGCATAGCACTGAATACAAAGTTTTTTCATTCTTTGCAAATATGTAGATATTAAAAAAAGGTATAAATAACCAAGATTTAATGAGTACTTTTTACTGTGCTATGCGCACATTATCTAACTGAACCCTTTCAACAAACCCAGAAGGCAGGGAATATATCATCACCCCCATTTCACCCAGGAGGAAACAGGCTTGAGGAATGAAGGCCATTGCACCAGGCTACAGAGCCTGGGAGCTTCGAGCCAGGATGTGCAACTGGGCAGCCTGACTACACCAAGCTGTATGCCATTACCAGACTTTGCTTATTTGTTCTAATGCTTTTCTTAAATTACTAGTGAGACTGAATATTTTTCCTATGTACTTGTTAACCACTTGCATTTCCTCTTCATGTGGCAGCATTTCTGATATTCACTTGGCACTATCAAGCCAGGAACTAGAAGAGTACAAGCTAAGCAAGTATCTGCCCAAGGCTAGACAAGCTCCTCTCAGAGCATATATTAGCCATGGTGGAAATTCCAGGTCATTAGGATGAAACACATCTAGATGTCTTCAATCCTATGCCCCAAATCAGAGCATATTACTGACATTCCTTACTCATGATAGCAAGACTGTCCTCATCTGAGCTCCCCTCTGTCAAGAGTTAGCAAACCTCTCCCTCCCAGACCCTTCTGAGAGGTGAATCCTGTAAGGGGCCACATTTAGCAAAGGATAAACCCACCTCTGTATTGTTTTTAGTAATAGCTCTCTTCTTCAGGCCCAAAAGACGAGTAGAGAGAAAGTCAAAGAAGAGCACGTGGCTAAGATGCAGGAGCAACAAGGGATGGTATCAAGGGGAAAAAAGGTCGGGGTGCTGGGAAATGTGGCCCAAGGAAGAAAAATGAAATACTTTACACATAGACCAAGGTTAACTGAGGCCACCTGGTGGTGCAATAGTAGCTCTGCATGCAGGCCCTTTACTTTAAAAAAAAAAAAAAAAGAACTAATTATAATTAGAGTCCTATAATTTTGAACTAAACAGTTTCTTTGAAATCAACAAGTTCAAACTCTTTATTAATAATTTTGCCAACTAAGACCTAGGGTGGTGAAATAACATATCCAAAGCCCTTGAGCTAGTCAGAGCCAGAGCTAAGCCTAAATTCAAGTCTCCCAGCTCGCAGGCCAATTCTTTGAACTCTGCCATGCTGTTTCCTTTGTTTGTCCTCTAGCATTTCCCCCTAGGTTTTTTCTACCTTTTCTTCTATTTTACTTTTACATAATTTCAGCAAAGTTTTTAGAAAAGTTGCAAGAACAATACAAAGAATTCCTATAAATTTTTCACCTAGTCATCAATTAACTTTTGACTCTATTTGCTTTATTATTCTCTTTCTCTTCCCTTTCTCTCTCACACATACATATTTTTCCCTGAAACTTTGGGAGTGAGTTATAGATGCTATGCCTCTTTAGTCCTAAATACTTCAGTGTGTATTTCTAAGAACAAAGACATTTTCTTTTTTTTTCCTTTATTGACTTTTTTAGAGAGACAGGAAGGGAGAGGGATAGAGAGATAGAAACATCGATGACAGAGAACATCGATTGGCTGCCTCCTGCATGCTCCCAACTGGGGATCGGGCCCACAACCTGGCATGTGCCCTGACCGGGAATCGAACCAGTGATCTCTTGGTGCATGGGTCAACACTCAACCACTGAGCTATACCAGCCGGGCAGAACAAAGACATTTTCTAACATAACCATAGTATAAATATCGACATTGGTAAATTTAGTATTTTTAATATTATCTTAAGTACAGACCTTATTCAAATTTGGCAATTGTCCTATCAAAGTCCATTATAGCAAAAGTTATAAAGGAATTTTTTTTCTGATCCAATTTTGGATCACATGTTATAGTTAGTAGTCTTATTTTGAAGTTCCCAATCTATAGAAAAGTTGAAAGAATACAATAATTGTATGCTCTTCACCAATTATGTTGCCACACTTGCTTCCCCCCCCCCCCAATGTGTGTGTTTATATCAGTGCTATTCTAGAGAACTTCTGTGATAACGAAAATGTTCTACACCAGCGCTGTCCAATGCATTGCCATATGATACATCTGGCTATTGAGCACTTGAAATGTGGCTAGTGTGACTGGAGATTTGAATTGTAAATTTAATTTAATTAATTTACTTTAATATAAAGTTCTATGGGGCTATAGTGGCTACCCTATTGGAGCACACAGGATATAAATATATGATATTTTTGTCTACATTTGTGTGTGAGTGTGTGTCTATACCCTTACACTTTTTTCTGGTAAACCATTTGAAAGGAAGTTGCAGACATCATGAGAGGTCAGCCCTAAATACTATCAGAATGCAACTCCTAAGAATAAATCAGATGGAGTGTGGGGGAGGGAGGGAGAGAGAGAGAGAGAAACATCAATGTGAAAGAGACACATTGACTGGCTGCCTCTTACATGACCCCATCCAGGGCCAGGGATGAACTGAAACTGAGGATTCCAAAATGGCAGCAGAGTGGAAGCTACATAGACAATCTCCCAGGACCAAACTGGAATTACAACTAAAATAAAGACAAATCGTCAGGAAAAAGCAACAGAAAAGCAGCTTGCGAAGATCATGTAACCAGGGACATTGAATCGAGCCTGGTTTGTACAGTAATATTTGATAATAAGGTTTGAAAGAATTACCATATGGTCCAGCAATTATACTACTTGTTATAACCCAAAATAATTGAGCAGATATATAAATAGATGTATACTAATGTTCATAGCAGCATTATTTGCAATAACCAAAAGGTAAAAATAATGCAAGTTCTTGCATCACACAGGTGAATATATAAACCAAATTGATACCTGTTACAATATGGATGAATATCAGAAACATTATACTATGTGCAATGTCAAACATGAAAAAAAAGTTTCATATGATTGCACTAATATATATCTGTAATAGACAAATTTATATAGACAGAACACAGAATAGAAACTAAAAGCGGTTTGGGGAAGAAAGAAATGGGCAGCTATAGTTTAATGGATACAGTTTCAATTTATAAATAATTAAAAAGTTCTAGTAATACTGTTAATGATTACAGAATTGTGGGTGTATTAATGCCATTGAATTTACACTTAAACATAACTAACAAGGTAAATTTTATGTATTTTTATAATAAAATAATAAATACTATTACAAAAAAAAAAGAATAAAGACATTCTCCCACCTAACCACACCACCATTATTATACCTTAAAAAATTCAGTCACTCCCTCATCAATTCCACTCTTGATTCCATATCCAAATTTCCTCAATTGCTCGAAATATATTTTTATAGCTATTTTCCCCCTAATCCAGGATCCAATCAAGATGAGCACATTGCATTTGGTCGTTGTCTCCTTAACCTTTTAAAATCTAGAATGCTCTCCCTTCTTTTCCCATGATAATAATTTTTAAAGACTTCTACCAGCTGTCATCCAGAATAGGCCAAATTCTGCATTTTTCTGATTGTTTCCTCATGCTTAGATTCACATTAAATATTTTTGTCAAGAATATTACATAGGTGAGGGTCCAGGGTTCAAGTAAGAATACTACATAGGTGACACTGTATACTCATACACACACCAGGCTGTCTTATTGGGGATGCTAAGTTTGATCTCTTGGTTAATGTGGGGTCTGCCAGGTTTCTCCACCGTAAAGAAATATTTTCCCATCTAATTTATAATTAAGCAGCTGGGTGCTATGTTGAATGTGTTGTTTTTTGTTTGTTTGTTTGTTTGTTTGTTTGTTTGTAAAAGACAAGCCAAAATAAAAGCATCAAGATACAAGCAAGTTTATCTAGAGAGTTTATTTACTGTTTGATGAAATATAAATGCCAGTCTTTTCTATATTGAGTCACATCTTCACATAGGATTTAATTTTTAAAGTCAACAAAGAGGGCAAAAATCACATATGGCCAAAATTATACCCTTGAAAAGCTCTTTTGAAGGCACCAGAATGGAACCTGGCATTTTATCTTTCAACAGGTTTCAGTTTTTTTGCTTTGCTGGTGCTTTTTCAGTGTTTCTTAAGTTAAATATCAGATAGAATAGTTGGCTATGTTTAAGGGCCTTGATGTATTTAAGAAGTGTATCTCAAAACTTGAGGATTGTACTACGAAGAGGCACAAGGGGACAAAGACAAAGAGAGGGAAGAGCTTAGCAACATCTCCCAAACTACACTGTAGGCTCTATGAACAAAATGCACCGGAGGAAGAACCACCCATACTATGTGCACCGGAGGAAGAACCACCCATACTATCTATGTGCACCGGAGGAAGAACCACCCATACTATGTGCACCAGAGGAAGAACCATCCATACGATTTAAGTTGTTATATCTTTCTTTCTCTTTCTCCCCTACCATTCTCCTGGATGGGAGTATTAGATCCCTTAAAGATTGAACGCATATATAATGAGAAGCACCCATATTATCAAGTTAGTTCTTTCCATACTAGTAAGAAACTTCACACTAAACAAAGGCAATGGAGAAATATGTTAGAAGTCAGAGGATATTCCTGAATAATATGGACTCAAAATAGGGACCTCAGAATGTCACCAGGTTCATAGGCAGGCTTCTGTTTAACCTAGGCTTGCTAATTATTAGGTAAGGTAGTAAAAGCTGTAGTCCCAAATTCAAAACCCTATCACTTCACTCTAATCCTCTTCTTCCTCCCAAGGGTTGGAGCAGCACAGCAATGAGATGCCAAGAAAAATTATTTAAATGTATCAAGACTATTTAAAAATCAATAACTGCGTAAGAATGAGGTAAAGAATATGAACAGGCAATCCACAGAAAAGAAAATACAAATTTCCCTTAAATGTAAGGTAAGATGCTAAACATGGACACAATTAAAGAAATGGAAAATAAAACGATGCTGAGAAAATCAGACTGGCAAAAAAGTCTGACAACGCATCGTGTTGATGAAGATGTGGGGAAGCAGGCACACCCATACACTGCTAGAAGAGTATTCCTTCCAAGGAAGGTAACCTGGCTCTCAAAATTATAAAAATGCATCCCTTCTGACAGATCCTGGAAGGGACATATAAGAATTGATAATACTAGTTTCTTCCAAACAGGGGCACTGAGGGGCTGAAGGAAAGAAAGAACATTAAAGTATATGAATACATTAAATAAATGAATAACATTTACATTTCAAAAATAATAATGAAACATATTGACAAGAGACACAAGTTTGCCTCAGGATGACCACGTTGAAAAGTCTGAGCTCAGACACGGAGTGCTGTGTGCCACCACCCCCTGCCCCGGCATCTCTCAGTCCATGACTCTTCTGCAGATCTAAAGTTTCTGAAGCAACATTCTTTCATTCGGGCAATTTTTATTGAGGGCCTACTATGTAGCAGGTACTGTTCTAGTCATTGAGGTATCAAAAGTAAACAAAACAGACAAAAAGTCCTGTTATCATGGTGCTTATATTCTATTGAAGGAGACAGTCAATAAATGAAATACATAAAAATATGTATTGTGTCAAATAGTCGCAAGGGCTGAGAAGAAAAATACAAAGTAGGGAAGGGGACAGAAGTGAGGAAGTTGGGAGTGAAGGTAGGGGAGGCTTTAGGTGAGCAGATCAGGAAGAGCTGGTTGAAGAGGATGACTTTTGAGTAAAGATCTAAAGAAAGTAAGGAAGCAAACCAGGTAGATATCTGGGCCAAAAGCATTTCATTCAGAGGGAACAGCAAATAAAAAGGCCCAGAGGTAGGAATGTGCCTGGTATAGTTAATGAATAGCAAAGAGGCCATGTGACTAGAGCTGAGTAAATGTAGAAGAGTAACAGAAGATGATAAATGGTTGGGGGGGTATCATGTGGGATCTTCAGCTTTTACTCTGACTGAGATGGAAAGCCCTTGATGTGTTTGAGAAGAGGACTAAATAGCTAACTTGCATTTTAACGAGAGCACTGGCTGCTGTGTGACCAACAGAATGAAAGAGGGCAAAGGGCAGAAGCAGGAAGGCTATCGCCTTAACCCAGGGTTCAGATGATAGCAGCCTGCGGGGCGGTGGGGATGGTGAGAAGTGGCTGAATGCTGGATGTACTTTGAAGATAGAGACACAAGCAGATTTGCTGACGAGCTGAATATATGATATGTGGAAAAAATCAGAAGCTCAGTTCCAGACGTTTCACATTTTAGATGTTTGCTAAACATTCAAGTGGAGATGAACAAGTGGGCTGTTGGAGTTCAAAGGAAAAGTCAGACTAGAAGTACAAATTTGGCAGTGATTTTATAACAGTGGCATTTAAAGCCAAGAGGTTGGATGAGATCACCTAGGGAAGGAGTATAAATAGAAAAGAGCCCCCAGGCGTGAAGGAATCACCATTTTAGATCATTTTTGCCAAAGGTTCCTATTTTCCTTCTTCAAGAATTCCAGCTACAGTATGACAACCCTATGAGAATGAACAGTGTAACTTAAGTCATTTCACAGAATTTGGCTCTCCAGACCGAGGTGTGGTATAAGTCCACCTCTTCCCCACAGACTGGACTGGACCTCAAATGACTAACACTTCACATAGTGCCACTCACCTTTCAAAGTAAGCTGAGACTTCTCAAAAGGCAGGGCCACTCCTGCCCGGCTGGAGCTGGCAGATGCCATGTCATCACCAGGAAACTGCAAGACAAACACAACAGTAGGTTTAGAGAATATCTGATAAGAGACTGAGGAACTGGACCCAATTTTAATATCTGAGTTTAAAGAGACAGAAGCAAAAAAATATAAACCTCGAAGCAACTGTGGCCATGCTACTTCGAGCAGAGTGGTGGGGTCTGTTTTATGATGGCTACTGAACCTGGACAGGTCTGACCAGCCCAAGAACACTGTTATATCAAAGTCTGGAAGAGAAAGGGCCTAATATAACATCTCCAAAAAGAAAGCTGCATTTCAACAATAAAAAAAAATCATCATCATCCACTTTTTATCATGGGCAAAAGATCTAAATAAACAGTTGTCCAAAGAAGATATTCACACAAATGGCCAAAAAGCACATAAAAAGATACTCAGGCCCTCGCCAGTTTGACTCAGCGGTTAGAGCGTCGGCCTGTGTACCAGAGAGTCCTGGGTTCAGTTCCCGCTAAGGGCACATACCTTGGTTGCAGTTTGTCCCCAGCCCCGGTTGGGGTCATGTGGGTGGCAACCATTCGATGTGTCTCTCTGGCATCGATGTTTCTCTCTCTCTCTTCCCCCACTATCTTCTCCCTGCCACTCTATCTGAAGATAAATGCAAAAATGTCCTCAAGTGAGGATTAAAAAAAAAAAAAAAAGATACTTGACATTATTAGTCATAAAGTGTCCCTGTCACTCCATCTTCGCAAGAAGTCTATCATGCACTCTGAATGGATCTTTTTACTCATATGTGATTTTGTAACATTGTAAACTGTCACTTGGAAAATATTGGTTCATTGAGTTATGCAGATATTCCAAATGTCATTATACCATATCAAATTTTGTTCATTTCACTATACAATATCAAAAAAAATGACATTTGTGAATGTCACCAGTGATCTCATCAAACAAGCCTTTAAATACTGGGAAGCTGTCAGCTCTTGGTGGTAGATGTAAATGTTCTAAAATTCTAATTTTCACTTAAAAATTCATATTTTATAATCAGCAATAGATACCGTCAGTTGTTTTCCCTGAACTGACTGGCTCACTTCATTCATTTTCAATAAAATACTGCCAAATATTCAAATCTAGTACCTTTAGTTGATCTGTTAGTTTTTTTAAGTAAAAAAAGGTATTTCATGAAAAAAGCCACTAATTCAGCTCTCGATTCAAACACTCATACCAGGGTTTTTTCTCAACACAACCTGTATACCTCGGGATGCAGAAGTGCTCCAGGCATATTTCTCAGTTCACCACACAGAATATTGAAAAGACATGTACTCAAGAGTCAAGACTTAAATTAATTTACACTACTTCATCAAGCACATTTTTTTAAGTGAAGCTGGCTATTTCTATTCTTTTTATTGAGTGTGCTGTGTTGAGGAATACCATGACAACAGCACAGACTGGTGGCATTGCCCTGATCCATGCTATGGCACCAACATTTTACTCACTTTTGCTTTTACATCATTGGTGCAAATATAATCATAGTGAAGAAGGCAAATAAAGTTATTATGAAAATAATTTTGATCTTGCAAAACCCTAAAAGTCTCAGGGGCCACCAGAGTCTGAGGACCACACTTGAGAACTGCTGCTATAAAAACACTGTAAAGCCCTGGCCAGTTTGGCTCAGCGGTTAGAGCGTCGGCCTGCGGTCCGGAGAGACCCGGGTTCGGTTCCCGCTAAGGGCACGTACTTCGGTTGCAGTTTGTCCCCGGCCCTGGTTGGTCGTGTGGGTGGCAGCCACTCGATATGTCCCTTCACGTCGATGTTTCTCTCTCTCTCTCCCTTCCTCTCTCTCCCTCCCACTCTATCTGTACAAAAAATGGAAAAATATCCTCGGGTGAGGATTAAAAAAAAAAAAAAAACACACTAAAATTCCTACTCTATTTAACATAATTAATATCTACTTTCATCCTATTTATATCTGTTCTCTCCTCCTAACTTCCTACCTTAAAGAGCTGTTCTGTTTTAAAACATGGTTATTGCCCTGGCCAGTTTTGCTCAGTGGTTAGAGCGTCGGCTTGCGAACCAATGAGTCACAGGTTCGATTCCAGTCAAGGTACGAGAGTGGAAGATGGCAGTGGGCAGGACCAGATGGGGGGTGAGTATGTGAGAGAGTGAGCGAGTGTGTAGGAGAGTGTGAGTGGATGTGAAGGTGGATGACCAAACTCATGCAGTGCAGAGACATGGAGCAGAAGGTTCCTGAGCTGTGGACAGAGCAGCCGGCTACCGCGGTAAACAGCTCTTCAGGGCGCTTCTCCCTATGCCTCGGGGAGGTCCCACCATTTTGGAAGATCCTGGGTCTCCCTGGGAGGAGGCAGTGGGAGCGGCTAGGGTCTGGCAACCTGATCCCACCAGCACACCTGGCATCATCAGACCAGTGCACACTCTGTGTCAACACAGACCGGTGCACAGTAGTGGTGATGGTTGCGGAAGCCGCAGACAGCTGGGAGCCCAGCACCATGCCCCCCATAGTACAAGCCCCATCACAGTCCAGATATACCCCCAGCAACAGAGGCTGGGGAGCAGACATCCATCCCCAGGCAACAGAAGCACAGACCAGCAGCTGAGACCCATCCCCAAAAACTACAGCAAAAGCTGAGCAGGAGTTGAGCCCCACAGGGCAGCAGCACTCCCCAGCCACCAGCGGCGGGACCTGGGGCTCCACAGAGGCCTGTGCTGTCCAGCAGCTCACAAGAGCAGTGGGAAGCTGGAGCCCAAGAGAGATTGGTGTGATCCAGCTGCCCACCCACGGGAACTGCAGGGTGCGGGTGCACCAGAGAGGCCTGTGCGACCCAGCAGGGACTGTGCGATCTAGTTACCCACAGGATCTGCGGGGTGCTGAAACACCAGAGAGGCCTGTACAACCCAGCAGGGATTGTGCAATCTAGTTACCCACGGGACCTGTGGGGTGCTGAAACACCAGAGAGGCCTGTGCAACCCAGCAGGGACTGTGCGATCTAGTTACCCACAGGATCTGCGGGGTGCTGAAACACCAGAGAGGCCTGTACAACCCAGCAGGGATTGTGCAATCTAGTTACCCACGGGACCTGTGGGGTGCTGAAGCACCAGAGAGGCCTGTGCGACCCAGCAGGGACTGTGCGATCTAGTTACCCACAGGATCTGCGGGGTGCTGAAACACCAGAGAGGCCTGTACAACCCAGCAGGGATTGTGCAATCTAGTTACCCACGGGACCTGTGGGGTGCTGAAGCACCAGAGAGGCCTGTGCGACCCAGTAGCCCATAACAAAGGCATAGAACCGGGTCCCCAAAGGGACTGTGCAATCCAGTTACCCGCGGGACCTACATGGGGCGGGGACACCAGAGAAGCCTGTGAGACCCAGCTGCTTACAAGATAGATGTAGAGGATGTGAAAATGGAGGCGGAGTGAATACAAGCTATACAGACGATCTCCCAGGATCAAAGGGCAATTACAACTAAAATAAAGACAAATCCTTGGAAAAAAGCAACAGAAAAGCAGCAGGACAGGACCATATAACCAGGGACACTGGTAGGATCTGTGGAGGCGCAAGAGTGTGGTGGGCTGGGAGCCCACGGACAGCAGCAGTCTTAGCTGTGAGCAGCTCTGTTAGAGAATAAAGACCAAGCCCGCTCCACAGCGCAGAGTGGAGACAGAGCACTAAAATAGCCACAGCCACTCACCTGGGGGCTACGCCAGAGGGAGCACAGACTGGGCTGGAACTCTGTGGGGACAACTGGGATTTGGAGGGCACTCAGAGTTTTTGCTCAGTTGTGGCCACAAAGGACGGTGGCCAGTGTGCTACTTCCCAGAGCTGTGGGAAAAAGCAGCAGCCACCCCTCAGAGATTCATTTCTTTCCCAGGTGAGGCAAAGAAATGCAAATTGAGCCCTGGCTAGTTTGGCTCAGCGACTAGAGCGTCAGCCTGTGGTCCAGAGAGACCCAGGTTCGGTCCCACTAAGGTCACGTATCTCGATTGCAGTTTATCCCCGGCCCTGGTTGGTCGTGTGGGTAGCAACCACTCGATGTGTCCCTTTCACGTCGATGTTTCTCTCTCTCTCTCTCTCTCTCTCTCTCTCTCGCTCGCTCTCGCTCTCGATCTCTCGCTCTCGCTCTCACTCTCTTCCTCTCTCTCCCTTCCACACTATCTGAACAAAAAAATGTCCTTGGGTTAGGATAAAAAAAAGAAAAGAAAAAAGAAATGCAAATTGAGGCTCATTAACAACCACCATCTATCCCACCCTCTGGAAATCCTCTTATGCAGAACACCAGGGCTATATTCTAAGGCACTGAATAACTGGGACTACTAGCATCCAGGAAAAAGCTAGAGGATAACTGAACATTTCCTGGGCTTGCAAATCTACCCAGGAAAGTAAAACTTGACAGTGATTTTTAACGTGGGCCCGCCAAGGCCAATCCAAACCCAGTAGAGGGAGCCACAAACAGCAGAACACCAACACCCACAGGGAATATTTGGCAGGCTCCAAAACCCACTGAGATAGCCAAAATGGTGAAACAAAGAAACAAATCCCAAATGAAAGAACAAGAGAACTCTATCAAAGATGAGATCAATAAAATGCAGTTAAGCAAATTATCAGAGGTAGAGTTCAGAGCCATGATCTTGAGGAAGCTCAACAGCATGAGTAAGGACATCAGAACCATAAGTAAAGATATAGAAACATTGGAAACCAACCAAGTGGAAATGAAGAATGATATAGCAGAAATAAAGAACACATTGGAAGGACTAACCAGCGGAGTAGAGGAAGCTGAGGACTGGATCAGTGAATTAGAAGACAGGATAGAAAAAAATGAACCAATCAGAAAAACAAAAGGAAAAAAACAATTAAAAAACAGGAAGATAGCTTAAGAGAACTGTGAGACAACTGGAAACGTATTAACATTCGCATCATAGGAGTCCCTGAAGAGAAAGAAAAAGGGCAAGAGTTAGAAAATACATTTGAAGAAATAGTGACAGAAAACTTTCCTAACTTGGTGAAGGAAGAAGGCATTCAAGTTCAAGAAGCACA